AGGCGCCCCGGACCCGCCAAACCGCAGCCTCTGCGTGCCTGCCCCTGCCTGTCCCTCCCATCGGGCGCAGCGCCCCCACTGCCCCCCAAACTCTCTACTTGTTACTGTTCCGCAGGGGCCACCCGCACCCCCTCCCCCCTCCATCCCACCTGCTTCTGGTGGAAGCAGCAGCGCTGGCCTTGGTCTGGCCCCCCGCCCTGCGGTCTGTCAGGCCCCGGAACCGCGCTGAAGGTTTCTTTTGCCCCCCTCAGCCCAGCAGTGCCCCCCCCCAGCGCGGCCCCTCTCAGTCTGGCAGTGTACCCCCAGTGTGACCCCCTCAGCCCGGCAGTGCACCCCCAGGCCCCCCTCAGTCTGGCAGTGCACCCCCAGCGTAGCCCCCTCAGCCAGGCAGTGCACCCCCAACGTGGTCCCCTCAACCCGGCAGTGCTCCCCAGCGCGGCCCCCCTCAGTCTGGCAGTGCACCCCCAGCGTGGCCCACCAGCGGGGCCGTCTAGCTGGGTGCTGGGGTAAGTGAGCGGACTGGGGTGAAGCTGCCGGCCACTGAGCAGGCGGTCCCCGGGCGGGGTCAGCGGGGGTGCAGTGCCCCGGGCCCCTGAGCTTCCCGAAGTGCATTTACTGCATCGGGGACGCGGGCGTTGGTGGAGGCACAGGGGCAAGGCAGGTGGGGGTCGCGCAGGACAGAGATGACATGGTGGAGCGACCTGGCTGCCATGAAGTGCCGCGAAGTGGGGTGAGACACAAGAGGTAAGGGGGGCGACAGCCCGCCCCAGTGGGAAAAGCGGACCGCAGGGGCGGTGTGCTGGCCACCTGGCGCCATTGGCAGTCACGGTTTCCTGTGAGAGGAGCGGCAGGGGGAGCGCAGAGGAAGGGTGGGGGCAGGGCACAGCCCAGGCGCCCTCGGGAGTGGGGGGCAAGAAGGCAGTGCCCTGAGGGCCACACCTGCCTGTGGCCGTGGTCACGTCCCTGCGCTTATGTTATGGCAGCAGAAACTCGAGTCCGAGCAGCTAATTTGGGGGTTTAGAGATGTTGCCTGTAGCTCACTAAAATGCCCCCGAGACCCACAGCGAGCTGTGGCCTGAGGCTCAAGGGGCCCTGTCATGGGCTAGGCTGGGCCACCTCGGGCCACTGTGTCCAGCTCTCGTGTGGGAACTGACCAGAAGAGGACTCCGCACCACAGAATAGGCAACAGCTACAACCCAGGTCCCGCCCCACCTCCCCAACTCCAGAGAGCCAGATGCTAGGAGTTGGCCAGTGGGGGGGTCACAAGAGTGGGGTTTGAAGGGATTTTGCCCACAAAACAGAAGTAAAAGTTGAGACTGGGCCCTCCCTGGTGGCACAGCAGGTTGGAGCGCTGCGCTGCGAAACTAAGCCGAGCCCTGGCCACTTCAGCGAGTTCAATCCCCGCCCCGGAAGTGACCCCCAGGGTGCGGCGGACCCCTCCTGTCTCCCGCCGCTCCCCTCAGCAGTGGGCTTCATCCATCTGCCTGTTCTGCTCCCAGTTCTGTGTCTGGTGAATCTTCTCACCACCCCTGCACCTCTGGCCTGTACCCCAGTTCTGTATGCAAATAAATCTTTAAAGAAAAAAAAAAGTCCATTAAAAAGTCTCAAGAAATTAAAGATTAAAAAAAAAATTGAGACTATCAACATAATTGCTACCCACTACTTATCTTTTGAACGACTTAAACCTCAGGGTTTCAAAGGTGAAGGGAAGGTTTCTGGGAGGGGAAGGCGACCTGTCTTTACCATCCCTTTCGCTGGCCAGAATAGCTACATTTATATACCATGTGGCTGTCCTTTAGTAACTGTGAAAGAAGTCTTCGGCATCTAACAAATGGGAAATAATAGGTTTTGCCCTCGATTTCTAACAATGAGTGAGAGTAACCTGATTTCAGGAGCAGCTGCCCAGGCGGAAACACCTGCTGTCTTTGGTCAGTGGTGCATTAGCCTGTGCGAACGCAGGAAACTAGTCTTGTAATTATTGTGCTGCTGTGTTATTTCTAATCAAAATAGTACAGAAATAGTGGCAGTGTCTAGATATAGTCACTTATCGTGTAAACAATTTTGACCCTCCAAGAAAATCTGCCCCCCAAAGTAACCATTTTGGAAGCCCATTTAGATGTGATACACTGAGAACATTAAATAGCTGCTTGGACTTTTCAGGGTGAGTCCAGGGGCCAGCGCTCTACATCCTTAGCAATAAGAGGAAATAAAAACACCATATTAAAGTAGCAACTCGCCACAGCAGCTCTCCCTCGGGAGCCCTGAGACCCTCCGCCCTGCCTGGCCCTATTTGAGGGGCCACCCCTTTCCCTTACACCGGCTTCGGGGAGCCAGGCCCTGGGCGCGAACAAGCTTCCAGCGCCGCGACCCTCTCACGCGCACACCCGCCTCCCCGGGCGACGAGGGCTGCTCCCCATGCCGCGCGCCCTGGGAGCCCCCGCACCCCAGCCCGGCACCCCAGGACCCTGGACCCGGCCCCCAGCCCCGGCAGCCCTCAGCCTACCTTGTACGTGCCCCTGGATCACGCCCCAGTGTAGCCTTTCCCGATGTCAGAGACAAGCTTCTAGAACTATGGTTCTGTCATAAAAGAACCTGGGCACGCGAGGCTCACCCCAACAGCTCCCAGAACAGGGGGCCGTCCTACTTTGCACCTACTTTTCTGAGCGGTTTGGCGGACGGCCGTAGGTTCACTGGAAAGGGACATTTTGTCCTTTGACAGGAACAGAATGGACCCACGGTCAGACACGTTAGAAGTGAGAATAAAATACGTAGGAGTCTGTAAACTCAACATGGGGGCACCAGAGACTCCGTGGGTGACAACGTAGCTCGTGGGGTCTGGGAGGCTTCTCGCGGGCATTTTTTTTTTTACTTTAATGCAACTTTATTAGAATAGTTATTTCAGATGCAGATAAAAGACGTAAAACGAGGCCCTATCACGTTGGTAGCTAGTCAGTGG